TTAAAGGTTTTGTACTGGCGACTGTAGCAATACTTGGCAGTTATGAAAGAACTCAGTCACTGTTCTATAAATTCTTTTGTGGTTCAGCGTTAGAAAACTACGTTTTGACTACTTCTTCCCCTTTTTCGCTCATATCATTTAGGTTTTGTACATTCTGGCAACAGCAGAAAGCTTGTGTCAACCAACCTTAGGTGAAACTCAACATGAATTCACTAGTCCATGACCTTTTTACTTACTAGACCAACATTTTCCCTTTTGCAGGCAGAGTGCCCAAAGTCTTTGCTTGAAGCAGCTAACAGCAGTTCCTCACAACTGTTCTTTAAGAAAACACCCAGTCTACATGCCACCCCATACGGGTGTCCTTTCTAGCAGGTATTCCTAATAGCAATCTTTATCATAACTGGGAAGCAAATTAATTTGTTTATTAGATGTTCTATCGTGTGGGATAGCTGTCACAGTTCCATAAGGAAAAGAAGTCTCTTGCTGGTGAGTTTTTGGCAGTCTTCAGTTACTGTTAAGTAATATAAATGGTATTTTTCTCAATAACGAGAGGAAAATAAAAGACAAAATGAGAATAAAATGAGCAAGAAACTATGCTGTTAAAGTAACGGGACATATCCAGAAAAAAAGAATAAAGAAACATTTCTCCACACTGAAAATGCAGAAAGTTTGGATGAAGATACCTAATTGGGAATGTTGGCAAAAGTGGCTAAGATCCCTTCAATTCTATGTTTGAAATACACATTTGAGAATCTTTACTCATGCTAACAGTTCATATATGTATTTACACATACATATGTATATATGTATATTCTTTGTTTCCTTGGGCATCTAGTGATAGTGAAAATAATGGAAGCATGAGCTTTTCAGCTTCAATCTTTTACAGTATGCACTTGGTTCAGTTACTTGAGACTGCATTTGATCTAATTACTTGAGGCTTTAGCTGCAGACTCTGGAAGCCCTGGCGTGAGCGGTAAGCACCCCCTGAAATACACAGGAAGTAAGGGAACTCAGAATTTCACACTAATAGTTCCTTAGTCCGATTTTTGTAAAACAGAAAGCTACCGGTAAATGGGTTTCCTGATCATAAAGCGGTTAGCTACTGCCTATGAGAAGTGAGGAATATTTTTGTCTTCTGTGTTTTATTCATCTTAATTTCTGAATTTATAAATGGGAAATAAATGACATTTGAAGAAGTTACTTCTGTTTTTTCAAAGCAATTTTGTTTCTCTTTTCTTGTACTAATGTCACACTTTGGTGCTTGCAGAGATAATTATGCTAGGCATGTGCATAAGAATATTTTTTCCTCTGTAATGGAAACCACATGAGTATCCTCAGAATTTCTCCCTTTTACAAATACAGTTATTCTTTAGTATACTGAATTATTCAGATTGTGTAAGAGATTTCCAAGTACCTAATTTACATTATGAAAAAGAGAAAGATAGGTGCTCTAGAATCATCATAAATGGACATCAAACTGTAGGTCTACAGGTCAGATCTAATGCATTTATTCAAATTTCTATCAGTTTGATACTGCACAATAGTACAGCCCTGCCAGCAACAGTTACCAAAAAATGCTTACATATAAAATCTCCTGGCAAAGTAAAATGCTACCTTTTTCTGGTGGATGGGTTTTGTTTCAAAATTTAACTTGAAATAAAAGCTGTTGATTCAGGTGGGCTGCCACCAAGCATGTGTGTTTTGTGTTTGGTTCAGATACAGGGTTATTTTTAACAATGTAAAAAACTACTGGTTTGTGGTCAGGATTTTCCTCCTGTTCAAATAGAAGGGTTTTTTTAGAATTTTCTGGGGCTCTGCATAGGTACAGAAGGCAACACTGCTGCTCACAGCTTGAAAAGCACAATCCATAAGCATTTACTGATTCTGCTTCTCTGGTGTGTCCCAGCCCGTCCATAAGCAGGGTTGTGAATATACTCATAGAAGCGTTCAGGGCTAGTCATTCTGGATTCTCAATTCTTAAATAGCTTTCAAGGTGTTTTAAATTAAACAGAAACGTCTTAACCTGTTTCTGAATGAAAATGCCTATGCGCAACCTTCCAGGATGGAACATCTGCCATTACCCGTAGTGCAGCAACACACTGTGTATTTAGAGTGATAGAATTTCTTACTCAAAGCCCATAATCTTCTTCATGGAAGTCTGGGCTGCCTTTTGGTCATTACAAATTGCTGCATTTTTTCAAAAGATGGCTACTGATGTACAATTGCTGATTTAGCAGAATATAACTACAAAAGTCTGCAATAACTTACAAACAACAGTCACTGGAAAGTATAGCAAACTCTTGATGAGCAGTACTTGCACTATTTAATAAACAATGAAGTTTAAATGTCTTGCTATGGGAGGAACTGCTTTAATAATTCAAACAGAAATGAGCATAAAATATCAGTATCTGCTTCAGAGTTGGATCTTCTGCCTAAGGGTATAGATTGATATTAGTTTTTACTCTCATATCTTACTTACATAGTTACTTATATAGTAGCAGATAATGGACAAGTGCTCTTCCCTGGATACTATGTGAAAACTTAGTGAAGCTAGGGCGGGAGTAGAGTATTGCTGCTGCTCTTTATTTCTACAGTTGTTTCATTACCTTCTTAGATCTCCTTTTTGTGTTCTTTCTTTCCACAATTGTATTTCACTTTTTCTTTGGCATTACAGTTTTTATAAAAACTCAGAATTGATAGTTTTTATAATTCTTCTAGAGCTCTTCACTGTTGCATCAGCTAGAATGATCCACACTTCATTACTAAAGCTTGCAGTGAAAAGAAGTATTATTTGGGTTTAGAATTACCACACTCATGATAATGGTGGTGGTAGTGAGAAAGCGGATGTTGGTCATCACTCCAAGAGCTACTTTCCTGAGCCCATCTTTGGCTTGCATATGGAAACACTCTTTATCACCATGAAACTACAGCCTGTGTTTTGTTGTTGTGAGTGTTTTTTAATTTAAAATGAAAGCTTGCATTCTGCAGAATCTGAATATACCACATGGAACTCCCGTGCGTTAGACAGGCTGCACAGAGTGATCTGGCTAAGCATCGGGTAGCTTTGGCTCAGACCGAAGAACTCCTGACCCTTGACACAGGGAGAACCAAAGAATTGCTTGGTTTTATATATATTTATATATATTTTATATAAAAATAAAAATAAAGATCTATTAAAAAGGCAGTAAAATACATAATTTATTAATACTTCTCTTTAAACCAAAACAAACAAAACCAGAAAACCTGAGTGATTTTATTTCTTATACAAAACCAACAGAAGGATTTTGTCTAAGTGGTTTAATGGTAACTCTGCCATTTTCAGACTACATATATAAAATTTATCCTATACAGTTTTACAAACTTTGTTTAATTAACAGTCTGTATTAAAGTTGCATAGGTAAAACTACGTAAGACAGACCGCAGCAGATGGTACATGATCAGTAAGTCCACATCTTTCTCCTTGATGTCCAGTATTTCAATCCAATTGCTGAAGAGAAGCAATAAATGCTGCATCTAGCATTAATGATGAACTGGTGAATACATGAAAAGCCATTATGGACTACAGACAAGTGTACAATGTTACAGAGAAAAACAGAAATAAACCCTCATGTAGTAGTACAAAATGTTAAGATTAAATCCTGCCTGAAAACCAGTAGTTGACTAATTCATATGTATGAAGTCCTTCAATAACATCCAAATTGAAGTCTCTGTAGTTGTTGCTTATGTCTTAAATATATTCAAAAATTCTCCCTCCTTTTTTA